ACATGGGCTAATGTTGCTCACGTTTTTGGAAGAAGTTGCAACACTTCTGGCACAATAGAAGGGACACAAGAGATCGCAAGATTGAGCAATGAGCAATGGAAAATGTTAATGCATGATAAAGTCGCACAATTTGATCGACATAGAGAAAATGACTGGTAAGAAAGATTATGATTGGTGGATTATAGACAGTGGTGCATATAATCATATGACAGGGAAATTGCAAAACTTTGTGTGAAATGTGAGTTATACAAGATTGTTCGCTGGAATTGCCTAATGGAGAAATAGGTTCACAAACAAAGAAGGAAATATAAAACTTGATGAAGGTTTTGAACTTAAAAATGTCTTATATGTCCCAAAATTGAAATGCAACTTGATCTCTGTGTCATAATTAACATATGAAGCACAATGTGTGACAATGTTTACTAACAAGTTGTGTTTAATACAGGACCTCACTTCAAGGATATTGATTGGAGTGGGTGAACGGAAAGATGGGCTCTACATATATCGTGGTGTGAGTGACAAAGTTTATCATACCAATACAAACAACTATGGCATAAAAGGCTAGGCCACCCATCTTACAAGATTTTTCAAATGGTTCCAAATATAAGTGGGACTTGTAAAAATAAATCTATAAATAAAATTTGTGAAGTGTGTAAACGATATCCAAGCAAACTAGAGAGAAGTTTCCTCTGAGTGAGAATCAGACATTAGATGTTTTTTATTTAATAAATACATTATGACTTATGGGGACCCTATAGAACTCCTTCATCTTGTGGCACTTCATATTTCTTAACTCTTGTTGATGACTACTATCGAGCTGTTTGGATATACTTGTTGCGTGATAAGAAAGAAGTATCCCAGATGTTGGAAATTTTCTTTATTTTAGTGGAATGACAATACCAAAAGTTGGTGAAGGTTGTGCGTAGTGACAATGGAACATAAATTTTTGTGCCTTAAACAATATTTCCAACGACATGAGATCGTTCATCAAACTTCATGCACAAGCACACCACAAAAAAATGACTTCATGCACAAGCACACCACAACAAAATGGAAGGGTCAAGCGAAAACATCATCATATTCTAAATGTAGCTCGCACTCTCCGATTTCAAGGCAATTTACTACTTCATTTTTGGGGTGAATGTATCTTGACTACTAGTTACCTGCTTAATCTCACACCCTCACCAATGCTTAATGGCAAGACCCCATGTGAAGTCATCATCGGCAAAACACCCCCACCAATGATCAAATTTATGTGCATAATCAGCATAGACATGGGAATAAGTTTGCATGTCGTAGCTACAAATGTGTTTTTGTTGGCTATTCCTATGGCCAAAAAGGATGGAAGCTTTATGATATGGAGACAAGAAGTTTCTTTGTGACCAGGGACATGAAATTTGTAGAAGACCAATTCCTTTTTATCTCAGGTTCTTTTTCCACTGACGTGCAACCTCGTTCAGTACCTGCTGATTTGGTTGTTGAAGAAAAAGCTCTACATGATATTGCACCCTCTAATGCGACTCATGCTGAGCTCCCATCTCCACTTAGGCACGATGTAGTTGATGTACTCAACGTGGGAGAAAAGGGGGAACTTGACACGCCCCATAATGCACCACCACTAAGTGCATAAGTAGATGCCTCTCAAACTCCAGCCCTTGATATTGACCCCACTTCCCCATCTATAAGTGTGACCGATGCACCGCTTGGACGAGGTCACCGTTTAAAAAAATCACCTGTTAAGCTTCGAGACTATGTCACTCATGTCACAAGTCAACTCAGCCCATCAACATGTTCTCCATCTTCATCAAATAACTCAGGTATGTTATATCCTCTCGCACATTATGTAGCTTGTAACAATTTTTCATCTCTTCATCGAGCGTTCCTTATAATGTTAGAGGTTGAAAAAGAGCCCACCTTCTTCTCTCAAGCTGTCATGGATACGCGTTGGAGGGATTCTATGGCTCAATAAATTAGTGCTCTCCAAATTAACAACACTTGGGAAATTACCTCACTACCTCCTGGGAAGAAAGCCCTTGAGTGTAAATGGATTTACAAGATCGAGTATAACTCTGATGGTAGTGTTGAAAGGTTCAAGGCACGCTTGGTCATCTTGGGTTATCATCAAATTGAAGAGATCGATTATAATGAAACATTTGCTCTTGTGGTCAAGATGGTCACCATCCGCATTTTCCTCATTGTTGTCGCTACCAAAGACAGGGAACTCCACCAAATGAATGTTTGCAAACTCCGCAAATCCCTACATGGTCTTCGCCAAGCTCCCCGTTGTTGGTTTGCGAAGCTCTCCATCGCTCTTCTTTAATATTGGTTTCACCAATGTCCATCAAATCACTCTTTGTTTTGTTTTAAAAAGGCCAACGTGCAGCTAGTAGTTTTGATATATATACGTTGATGATCTTGTTATTTCGGGCAATAATTTTGAAGCCATTCAACAATTTAAAGAGTATCTTCATCGCTGCTTCCATATGAAGGATTTAGGCAAGTTAAAGTATTTCTTGGGGGTGGAGGTTGCAAGGTCCCCTAAGGGAATTTTTTGTGCCAATGAAAGTATGCTTTGGACATAGTTCAAGAAGCTGGCTTACTTGGAGCAAAACTGGCAACTACTCCGATGGAACAAAACCATCGTCTAATCTCAGCCTCAGGCCCATTGCTTTCTAAGCCTAGCATGTATTGCCGTCTGATTGGACGCCTTATCTACCTATGCTTCACACGCCTAGAGCTTTCTTATAGTGTCCATATCTTGTCTCAATTCATGCACCAACCGAGAGAAGTGCATTAGCAAGCTGCTAATGCGTGTGGTGCGCTACCTCAAAGGACAACCTGGTTAGGTATCTTACTACAAAGGGATAGTGATCTATGTCTATATGGGCGGTGTGACTCCGACTGGGCTGGTTGTCCTCTCACCTGTAGATCTCTCGCTAGCTGGTTCATTTTTCTAGGCAACTCCCCAATTTCCTGGAAGACCAAGAAACAACACATCATCTCTAGATCATCCACCGAAGCAGAATATCGACCCATGGCCACCACCACCTGTGAATTAAAATGGTTGAAGGACATTCTTTCTTCTCTTGAGATCTCTCATCCGGAACCTATGCATCTTTACTGTGATAATCAAGTTGCACTCCATATTGCCAAGAATCCTATTTTTCATGAACACATGAATCATATTGAATTCGATTGTCACTGTGTTCGAGATGAAATTCTTCGCAATTGTATCCGCACTTCATATGTCTCGAGTCAAGCTCAACTTGCTGACCTCTTCACCAAGGCACTTGGCCTCACCCAATTCAGTTCATTACTATGCAAGTTGGGCATTTATAGCCTCCATGCTCCAACTTGAGGGGGATGATAAGTGTATATCTCTTATTATTGCAGATTTGACAACATTATATCTTATTATTGCATAAATATTTGATAGCATGATATCATAGGACAATATCTGTATATATGCTATAATTTCGGAAAGAATATGTGTGTATTTTTGATCCAATAATATAGGAACTGAATTAGGAAAGTTATGAGGCAATTCAGGAATAATTGAGAGCTGCAATATTATATCTCTTATATATAATTATATATGTATGTGTGTGTACGTGCGCGCGTGTTTTCAGATCAATAAAAGATCGAGAAAAATCATCATATTATTTTGACAATATCTAATTTGAGGAATCAAATTATTGCCAATATTTTAAAAGTGTAGTCAATGCATGGTTTGTATGGAAAAAGATGAATTTATGCATGCAAGCTAAGATATTGGTTCAAAGAGTTCAATAGGTCCAGAGTTTAAATTTAGCTTGGATGGTACTGGATGAAATAATTGAATGGGATATGAGCCACCCCTTGATGAATTAATGGACTGAATAATTAACCATTTGAGACTGATGTCTATATACATGGGGATGTACTCCATATTTTGGTTGGTGAAATATGTTGAAGGCCTCATTGATTCCAAGAAGGGCATCAATTGAATTTTGTAGTTCTTGCTACTGAAATTCCTCTAAACTAGTCGTGCAAGATATCACTAGTAATTTGTCTCGTTTTTTTGGTTCTGATCCATGAAAAAAAAGGTGTACATGGTTGTACAAATAGATTGATGGTATTTCTAACTGGATCTCTCGATCTTTTGGATAAATGGATAAATATATAGCATCCAAGGATGATGGTCTTTATGGATTTTTTTTTTGTGTGTAATTTGCCTAAAACTCTCACCAATATTATTTAGTTCTTAGTTCTGTGATCATTAACTTAAAAGTTGATGATTAGAAGGTTGAAAAGCCTGCTTGTTTCTATATATTCCTTTAACAAATGAAGCAAATATTGAAGACCAAAACAAACAGTCCACTTCTGGTTAAACATTAGTCAACAGACAGATCTATTCTTCTGAATCTTTGATAGAAGATACTTTATTTCAAAACACAACACTCAACAAAACCCATTTCTATGTATTTTCCTATAATAGTGTTACAGTGAAAACACTTGCACCATAACTTTACATCACACTGTAAGTTCCTCAAAAGGAGGCCAAAAGAAAAATTATAAAAATAAAATAAAATAAAATAAAATAAAATAAAATACATATTTACACTATACATCACACAAGGAACGTAACAGAACATTCAAAAAGCAAAACAGAAAATATTCCTATTTTGCTTGTTTCTCAGAGGGTTTCTCATAAGAACCCATAGAGATCTCAAATCATACAATTAATTGCATATAAGAAAAATAATAAGTGAAACAGATACAATTGAGAGAAATCCCTCATACATGAGCATACAAAAATAGAACAAACACAGGATTGGGGCCAATCCCACTACCCAGCATACAATCCCACACCCAGAGCGAGGTTTCTCACTCCCCCCTTACCTCGATAAGTAGGAGCCAAATCTTGTTGGTCGCCCCCTATAGGTTCCGCTTCGTCTTCAGAGAGAAAGGAGAAAAAAGATTAGAAAATGAAAAAAATGCGTTTTAGAGAGTGCTGAATGAATGAAAAACAAAAGAACTAGTTCAACCATCACCACATCTTCTCGAAGCAACAAATTCAACCAACAATGAACAAGTCATAATCTAAGGAACCAATATTTCCACAACTCCCACATTCAAAACTGTCTGTGGTGCCCGGAAAGTGTCTTCCGCACCACCTTGTTATTCCTCCCTCCTCCTCTACCTTCACCATTGATGGCAGTGGCTGTAGCAGAAGACAAACTCTTAAGCTCATCAATGCAAGCATAGCTCTTCCTTGCCATCAAAGCACCACCGCCCTTCTTCTTATCCCCTCCACTCACCGACTTGCTACCCCTTGAACTCAACGCCACCCCATTGCCACTCTTGCTTGGTGGCGTCATCGTCTCCATCCTTGAAGGCAAAGTGTTCACAGGCTTCCTATTCTCTTTCCTCAATGCAGCAGAGAAATCTGGCACAGACTGGGCAAGAACAAAGGACCCTTTTGATTTTGAATGTCCCCCACAATCTTCAAACTTGACCTGCTTCTTCCTTGGTGGGGTTGCAGGTTTTGTTGGCGCCAATTCCCGAGCCTCTTGTTGTTGTTCTTGCATCAAACACTTGGTGTGCAACCTTGTTTCTCTCAGTTCAGCATATGCAGCGTAGTTGGGTCCTCTCTCCAAGATGAAGCTGTCTGCAGGGGTGAGCCTCAGAGGGAAAGGGTGGTCTGAATTGGAATTCTGGTTGAGGATCAGTGATATGGGGTCAAGGGCATGCAAGAGAGGCTCAATAGTGGGGTTTGGGTGAAGGGTTTGTGTCAGTGAGATTTTATTGTTTGTGTTGGACATGATTGATGGTATGAATATTGAAAGAATTTGAGGGTTTTGGCTCTTGGCAGTGTCCTTTATGACTACTGATTGTGTAAACTAACAGTTTTGGTAGCTTCTTATTTGGGATTATTCTTTTGCTTTTTTTCCTCCTTTGACGAAGTGAAAAGGTTTGATTTTGCAACGGTATTAATCTTAGGTGGAAGTGGATGAGATCAAAGAGGAGAAAAAAGCTACTTTTACTTTATTTTTGCTAAGCTTAATTAATGATAGGTTACTAACGTTCGGGTGTTGTATTGTTGGAGAATCTAAGAAGCCGTTGTGCATTTTGGATTCTATATTAACAGTAAAGTTAATTTGTTATCATATAGCATGTAAAGTAAGAAAAAATTAAATTGTGAATTATTTTAAATTATATTATTATACATATATCATGTATTAAAAATCTCGTCTTAAAATAAGATTATAATATATATATATATATATATATAAGTGAAAAATAATTTTTATTATACGATCTAATTTTATAAAATTATATTAGACTTTTAATCCAATTTTTTTAAAAATTAAAATTGTGGAAGCCGGACACTGTATGTGGGTTTTGCATTTTGCAATTGGCAGAATTAGAGAATATGGTCATTAGTTATGTGAATATGAATATTATATCAATTGAGATTCCTAACCTATGGATTTTTTTATTAGTTATTATTAATAGTACTATCTTTTTCAACGTTAGAGCAAAGTCCAAATGCCCATAAAAGAATTTTTCATCATATTTTATGAGTAGTGTCTTCAGATGATGTGCTACACGTTAATTTAAGAATACATTTAATGTTACCCAACAAAGTGATTATCTACTAAAATTAAAGATTAACCTATATACACTCCAAGAATCTTAGAGCATTTTCAACACTGATATTGAGGTAGAGTTGTTTATGTAATTTTTTTTTTATCCTACATCACACATAAAAATATCTCATACTTTTTTTTTAGCATCAATCATCATATTTTATAGGCTCTAGACGATGTAATAATAAGAATTGTTTACTATTTCAAAAATTATATATGTATTAATATATATATATATAGTGACGGATCTACAAGGGAGTGGGGGCACAAAATTATTCACGCAAAAGTCTTTGGGTCCAGTGAAGCCATAACTCTTAAATAAATTTGGAATACTTTAGTTTCCCCCAAAGTTCATATTTTTATGTAGAGGTTGCTGCAAGGAGGACTACCAACAGTTGATAATTTGGTAAAAAAAAATGTCATCTTAGGTTCTCAAGAGATGTTATGTGCCTTTTGCAAAGTAGAACTTGAAAGCTCTTCACACATTTTCTACACATGTCCTCTAGTAGATAAGGTATGGAAACAATGGCTTAGTTGGCTAAATTGCCCCTCTTCCCTTCCATAGTCATTAGAACAACATTTTAGCTTCATTTGAGGTCCATTATTGTCCAAGTCAGAAGTGGAAACCTGACGCATAATATACAGTATGACTATGTGGACCCTATGGAGGCACAAAAATCTACGTGTGTTTGAACATGGAGGCTTTGATCTACACAAAATTATCAAAGACATTCTCTTTACCTCTTTGTTGTAGTTGTCAAGTTTTAAGAAGAATTTTCAATTTATATTCTTACAATGGTGTAGCAATCCTAGTCTTTGCATTTGTCTTAAGGTATGAAGGAGGAGGTTTTATGGTGATGGCAAACAAATTTACATGTTCAATTTATGTTTTCTCCTGTTGTATAAATGGGTTTATGGTATCCCTTGTACTTGATTAATAATTTTTTTTTGCTATAAAAAAAAAAAAAGAGAGAACAATATTATATTAGTTTTGAAAGTTTTATTGAAAACTCTTATACATAATGAAATTGTTTCTGTAATTTTTTTTAAGATAAGTATAATTTTAAATTAAAATTCGTTCATCTGCAAATTTCTTTGCTAAAATATAAATAATATATTTTTATAAGCTAATTGATAAGGATCTAATTATAATTAATTGAATTATGGCAGCAAATCAACATAAGGTTATCAATAAAATAAATATATAATCTTAAGTTTTTAAAAGGCTTTATAATAAGTATTCGTATGTCACAACCAAGATTACATGGTGACAACTAAAAATTACGGATAAATAAGGTTTGAAAAGTAGAGACACCACCAGCATTTTTTTCTTTGTTGAGAAAACATTGAAAAACTCAATAAAAATAATTTTGAAATTAAATTTTGGACTCGGAAGTTAATCATGCATTGGAAAGGTGTTATTACTCCATTAAAAATAATTACCACTAATTAATTAAGTAATTTATTAATTAATAACTTTAAAATATTTCTTTCATCCTTTAATTACAAAATAAATAAATAAATAATTCTCTACTATAATTTTATTTGTTCAAATTTTATATTTATTTTATTATTAAATTTTAAAATAAAAGAAAGAAGAAAACACAAGTGATTTTGGACTCAACAATAATAGTACATTGCTCTTACGTAGGGATGTCAATGGGACAAGGTAGGTATGGGTAGTAGTTCGTCACTACCCGCCCCATCAGATATATATCGATCTCATATCCGTCCTCATATTCATGCAGGTATACATTAAGCAGGTACCCACATATTTTTTCAATATCCATGACTATATGTAGATATTGTTTTTTTAAAAAAACATTTTTCAAAAATATTTTAAGAATGATTTCTATTTATTTTAGTAATTTCTTTAAAAATAATATTAGTTTAAAAGTCAAAACTTAAATTATTCAAATATTATACATAAATTTATTAGTCAAGATTATTCGGTTTAAAAACTAAAATTAATTGTCAAAGTATGTTATTTTCACAAGTTTAAACAAATTTAATATGTAATTATGTAGTTAACATTAATGGGTATCTTCAAGTGATGGCAAAGCTAGGTGAAGTGAATTGAGTTTCTTCCCTTAGCTTTGCTCCAACGACTTGATCTTTTCCTTGAGTCAAATCTGGAAGTTCAAGATCCAGAAGAAGAAGTAGAGTTGTGGAAATGAAGGAGAAGGAAGCACCAAGGCCAAAGGAACAAAGGATTGCTCACATGGTTCTAAACCTAGAAGCCTTCTAGATTCCCTAAGAACTAGGCGCGTAGCTGACTTTGAGAGTGACTTTTGCTTAAGCAAAATGATCAGAATTTCTCATATATTCAAACTGAATACAAGTGTGAAGAAGCAAGACTTAAATAGGCGTAGAGACTAGCTAGCTAGGTTGGTGCCAATCACAAGCTACACATTTGGCGCCAAGAATTTGAATTTCAAATGGTATTTGAATTCAAATTCTTTGGCCACCATGTGCATCACCGTGATTCTAGGAGCTACCATGCATCTAAATTACATTTAGCAAGCATTTAAGTTGAGTGTGGGCATCACATGTGCAGCCACACTTGATTTAAAACATGTGACCCAAATTCAACTCAAATTACTTCTAAATGAAACCTAGACTTAACCAATCTTGCCTACTTTAGTATTCCTCCTAATTTCCTACTCTAAGGGCCTAAATACATTGGTCAATCAAATATAAACAATAGGAAATAATAAAAGAAGTAAAATGAGCCAAATATTGGGTACCAAAATGCCTAAGGCCCATAAAGCCCAAAAACAAGCCCACTAAGCCTAGGGCCTAAAACCCTAATCTAAATGGTCTAGAAATACAAGACCAAAACATGTAAATCCTACACTACAACAATAAGTACAATAAAAGGTGGATCACTATAAAGCCCATGTGAAGAGTACCCTGGACCCACTAAGCCCATTGGGCCCACCAAGCTCTAAAACAATCAAATCTTCCTGAAGTCTCGTGGTCATGGCTCTAGTGGTTGGACCCATGGTCCATGTGTAGACACCCAATTTCGTCCGGGGGCACACAAATAAAGAAATGGACCTCCTTTATGAAGGAAAGGAGCTTCCGAAGCAGGCAAACAACAAGACAGGACATCAGAAGGCCTAAAGGCCAAATAAGGTGGTTTTAGTAGCCGGAACGGGCTGTTCCAAAATCAGAACGGGTCGTTCCAAAATCAGAACGGGCCGTTCCACAATCGGAACGGGTCGTTCTGAACCCCCGGAACGAGCCGTTGCAATATCAGAACGGGCCGTTCCAAAGTAAACTAAAAACACCTAAACATTTTGGGTGGAACGGGACGTTCCAAAACCAGAACGGGCCGTTCCAAAACCAGAACGGGCCGTTCCAAACAAGGCAAATTTGGAACGGATCGTTCTGGAAAGGGAAAATTTGTGTTAATTTCTACTCTGGAACGGGCTGTTCCGATTTCAGAACGGGCCGTTCCAGGGTACGAGATTTGCACATAACGATTGGGCCAGAACGGGCCGTTTTGAATCCGGAACAGGCCGTTCTGGCCCCTTCTGATTCCTAAAAATAGAAGCTTCGGGCACAGATCTCAGGGCAGCCAAGACTCCTTTGAGCACGAAAATTCTCTCTCTCTCTCTCTCTCTTCTATTGTATTTCTTGAGATTTGTGTCGCATCTCTATCTTCTCTCTCCCTCCTATTGTATTTCTTGAGATTTGTGAAACATACTGTAGTGTGAAAGGTAGCCACAAAGCACCTTCTCCATATTTGAAGATTCAATAAAGCTTGTTCAAGAGGTATTTCAGTCAATCTTCTTCTCTTCCTTTTATTCCTCATCTTTATCTCTTTTTTTGTTATAATAAACGTCATAATGTAGATATTTTAGGGTTAATCGCTTAATTTATATTTTAAGCATGTAAATAAACATTAATAAAGGGGATTCAATATTTAATTTATTAATTCTTATCGTGTTAATTTCATCATAGGGTACCAATTAAGGGCGTTGTAGGGGTGCTTAATACCTTCTCTACACGTAACCGACCCCCGAACCCAATTCTAGTTATCAAGGCCATTATTGGACTTTTGAAAACCTTTTCTTTTTCCAATGTTTTGAGTAAAACATTGGTGGCGACTCCATGAACCTATTTTCAAAATCATTAATTAAGGATTAGTCTAGTGTCTGGGCATTCCTTAATTGATGAGATTTTTAAAAGGATGTCTAAACCATTAGTCGCGAGATCGGAAATTTTCGGGTTGCGACACCATGCTCTTCCATCATCGGGTATGAATGCTATGATACTCATACCTGTCCTATTAATATGCGGATATAGAAAATACCCATACACGTTACTCATGAGTGTCCATTTACAATATTCATTTTGTAACACTACATGCTT